ACTTGACTCTTTTGTGTTTTAATTTTTTTTAATTTTGTGGTGGAAATAAATTAATTGGAGGGTTCCTCATATTTCCAATGCGACAATAATTAGTTCATATGTCTCAAGCTCAATTTTCAACAAATATTAGACGATAAGAGTTAAATTTTGATATCCCAGTTCAAATTTCTTTTATTTGCGAAAATTGTTCGTAAACAGGATTTCAAGCAGAATCATTACAGGATTCCTCGTAGTAGTTCAGATGTACCCGGATTAACTTTGGAGCAAGACCGAACAGTAAAAAAGTCAAATAATTTTTGTGTTTGTATTTTTTTATTTTGTGGAGGAAATAAATGAATTGGAGGACTCCTCATCTTTCCAAGATAACAATAAGTAGTTCATATATCTTAGGCCCAATTTTCGAGAAAAGTTAGATGGCAAGAACCGAATTTTGAAATCCCAATTAAATTTTTTTTTATTTGGGGAAATTTTTAATGTTTGTAAACAGCATTTCACCCATAATCATTACAGGAATTCTGATAGTAGTTCATACGTATCAGGCGTGATTGTCAACATTGGGCAACAAAAAGGTCAAATAATTTTTGTGTTTGCAATTTTTTTTTAATTTGATGGAGGAACCCTCTATATAGGATGTCCGTTATATTGGAATTTTGTTCAGTTTACATTTTCAAGGTAAAAAAATTATAAAAGCGAAGAAACAAAATTTCTAAACTCGCTCTGACTTAAAAATGTTTTGGACGTCCCCTCATAGTTTTTTTGCTTGTTTGCTTTAAAACATTCTTTAGGAGCTCTGAATGTTAGTGTTGAGACATTGCTGTGACTGAAACTAATTAAAAAATAATAGAAATTAGCTCAGAATTCTATTCAATTCAAATTCTACAAAACTTGCTCGGAAATTATTTCCACGAACTAATAAGAAAGCTTGTAAGCGGCACTGAGTTTTATCTTGCATGCCTTGCCATTACAGGGTCGGCCAAAGTTTCGCGTAATAATTCCTTATTAATTTTTTGGAACACAAGACTCTTTAGATTGCAAATTGCTTAATGAAAATTGTTTGCCGTCACAATTAAAACCGTTGCGTTTCTTTCTTTTTTAAAAAAAATTGTCGATTTGTAGAACAGTTTAAAATAAAGTAAAAAATACAGTAAATAACAATTAAATGTGTTTTTTTTTAGTGACATTCAGTAAAAACGGCAATTATTGTTGAAAAACTAATATTATTAATTTAACTGTCGTTTCAAAAAGCCATTTTTTAGAAATAAAATTATTTTTTGTAGGTATTTTTTTTCCTGTGATTAGTCTTTGTCAAGGGTGATAAAAGCACAGCATACAGGATATTTCTTTGCACGACTTCATTATTAAACAAAGTCAATATATCCGATAAGCGTTTTTGTATTAATTTTATTTAAAATCATTTTTAGTTTTTATTTTGGATAATTATTTTTGAGTTAAGTTAAAACCTAATGAACGCCACTGGCAACATAAATGTTAGTACAACTTGCAAAATTCTTTTATAAGAGATAATCGATATTATCAACATAAAAGTGAAACGTTTATATTTGATACTACAATTTGGACAGCCCATAAATTTTCATCAAAATGAAAGAATGGATAAATNTTAAAAATGTTTTGGACGTCCCCTCATAGTTTTTTTGCTTGTTTGCTTTAAAACATTCTTTAGGAGCTCTGAATGTTAGTGTTGAGACATTGCTATGACTGAAACTAATTAAAAAATAATAGAAATTAGCCCAAAATTCTATTCAATTCAAATTCTACAAAAATTGCTCAGAAATTATTTCCACGAACTAATAAGAAAGCTTGTAAGCAGCACTGAGTTTTATCTTGCATGCCTGGCAATTACAGGATCGCCCAAAGTTTCGCGTAATAATTCTTTATTAATTTTTTGGAACACAAGCCTCTTTAGATTGCAAGTTGCTTAATGAAAATTGTTTGCTGTCACAATTAAAACCGTTGAGTTTCTTTCTTTTTAAAAAAAAATTGTCGATTTATAGAATTTAAAAAAAAATTTTGGAACAGTTTAAAATAAAGTAAAAAATACAGTAAACAACAATTAAATGTGTTTTTTTTAGTGACATTCAGTAAAAACGGCAATTATTGTTGAAAAACTAATATTATTAATTTAACTGTTGGTGAAGTATTTTGTATTTTGTATGTTAATATATTTTATATAATCTAAGTTGTATAGAGACGGTTGCAGAGCAACAAAAACAAAAAAGTTGTTGTTGAAAAATAAAATAAAATGATGACATGTTCTAAATTCTATTAATCTAATTGTGTAGTTGTACCATATTCAGGAAATAAAGGAAATTATTCAATCAGCACAAGAGTTTATACAGTCCACTCTATCGATTAACAACTGTCGTTTCAAAAGGCCATTTTTTAGAAATGAAATTTTTTGTTTTTTTTTCCTGTGATTAGTCTTTATCAAGGGTGATAAAAGCACAGCATACAGGATATTTCTTTGCGCGACTTCATTAATAAACAAATTTAATATATCCGGTAAGCGTTTGTGTATTAATTTTGTTTAAAATCAATTTTAGTTTTTATTTTGGATAATTAATTTTGAGTTAATTTAAAACATAATGAACGCCACTGGCAACATAAATGTTAGTACAACTTGCAAAATTCTTTTATAAGAGATAATCGATATTATCAACATAAAAGTGACAAACGTTTATATTTTATACTACAACTGAGATAGCCCATAAATTTTCATCAAACTGGAAGNTAATGAACGCCACTGGCAACATAAATGTTAGTACAACTTGCAAAATTCTTTTATAAGAGATAATCGATATTATCAACATAAAAGTGACAAACGTTTATATTTTATACTACAACTGAGATAGCCCATAAATTTTCATCAAAATGAAAGAATGGATAAATTTAATCGAACTTAAATAAAAGAAATTCTATAAATAAACAATTTTTTTTTTTAAAAGAAAGAAACGCAACGGTTTTAATTGTGACAGCAAACAATTTTCATTAAGCAACATGCGATCTAAAGAGTCATGTGTTCCAGAAAATTAATAAGGAATTATTACGCGAAACTTTGGCCGACCCTGTAACGGCCAGGCACGCAACGCAACACTTACAAGCTTCCTTATTAGTTTGTGGAAATAATTTCCGAGCAATTTTTGTAGAATTTGAATTGAATAGAATTTTGAGCTAATTTCTATTATTTTTTAATTAGTTTCAGTCACAGCAATGTCTCAACACTGTAACATTCAAAGCTCCTAAAAAATGTTTTAAAGCAAACAAGTAAAAAACACTCCGAGGGGACGTCCAAAACATTTTTATGTCAGAGCGAGTTTAGAAATTTTGTTTCTTCGCTTTTACAATTTTTTTACCTTGAAAATGTAAACTGAACAAAATTCTAATATAACGGACATCCTATACAGAGGGTTCCTCCATCAAATTAAAAAAAAAATACAAACACAAAAATTATTTGAATTATTTTTTGCTGCTCAATCTTGCTTGAAAATCTAGCCTGATACATATGAACTACTATAAGAATTTCTGTAATTATTCTGTGTGAAATGCTATTTACAAACATTAGAAATTTCCGCAAATAAAAAACATTTTAATTGGGATTTCAAAAATCGATTCTTGCCGTCTAATTTTTTCGAAAATTGGGCCTAAGACACATGAACTACTTGTTGTTGTCTCGGAAAGATGAGGAGTCCTCCAGTTCATTCATTTCCTCCACAAAATAAAAAAATACAAACAAAAATTATTTGACTTTTTTGCTGTTCAATGTTGATCCACAATTAAGCCGGGTACATTTCAACTACCACAAGAAATACTGTAATGAATCTGCATGAAATCCTGTTTACAAACATTAAAAAGTTTTGTAAATAAAAAAAATGTACTTGGGATTCTTGCTGTCTAATTTTTCTCGAAAATTGGGCCTAAGACATATGAACTACTTATTGCTGTCTTGGAAAGATGAGGAGTCCTCCAATTCATTTGTTTCCCTCACAGAATAAAAAAATACAAACACAAAAATTATTTGACTTTTCTGCTGCAAAATTAAGCCTGATCCATTTGACCTACTAAGAACAATACTGTAATGATTCTGTGTAAAATACTGTTTACAAACATTAACAATTTTCGCAAATAACAAAAATTTGAATCTAATTATCAAAATTCGATTTTTGCAGTATAATTTTTCTCGTAAATTGGGCCCGAGACATATGAACTACCTATTGTTGTCTTGGAAATGTGATTAATTCTTCCACAAAATTTAAAAAAAAAATACATCAAACAAAAATTATTTGACTTTATTACTGTTCAAACATTGCTTGAAAATTAAGCCTGATCCATTTGATCTACTAAGAACGATACTGTAATGATTCTGTGTGAAATACTGTTTACAAACATTAAAAATTTTCGCAAATAAAAAAAATTGAGTTGGGTTATCAAAATTCGATTTTTGCAGTTTAATTTTTCTCGGACATTGGGTCCGAGACATATGAACTACTTATTGTTGTCATGGAAATATGAGCTAAGGTCCAATTCATTTATTTTTTCCACAAAATTAAAAAAATACGACAAACAAATATTATTTGCCGTTTTTGCTGTTTAACATTGCTCAAAGATACATTTGACCTACTAAGAACAATACTATAATGATTCTGTGTGAAATACTATTTACAAACATTAAAAAATTTCGCAAATAACAAAAATTTGAATCCGATTATCAAAATTCGATTTTCGCAGTCTAATTTTTCTCGGAAATTGGCCCCGAGACATATGAACTACTTATTGTTGTCCTGGAAATATAAGGAACCTTCCAATTCATTTATTAACTTTAGGATATACGAAATATAACTAAAATTCTTGTCCACATTGTAACGTAGAGATGTCACAAATTAATAAAAAAAAAAGTTTGTAAGTGAAGTAAAGTACGTTTTTAATACCTTTAAAATATATGTAAAAAAATAAGACTCATTTCGATTGTGGGAAAATGGCCATACCTGTTACGTAGATCCTCAGAACCGGAAGAGTTCAGGGAACTGCAGTCCTGCAACCTCTGCGCCCACTTGCTCTTGACCTCCTGCTGCACGCGCTCCTTCAACGCCTGGACTCGCTGTCTCTCCTGCTCGATCACTTGAGAACCTGAAAAGCAACGCAAGATGGAAAATATAAAAATACACGGAAAATTCGGAAAAAACCATTAAGTACGTTTTAAAAAACGTATCCGATTGTTATTTTTTTTCTAGAACAAATCAAGAATACCTTGCTGGCAGAGGTGCAGGTGTCTCTTCCTTTCGATCTCCTTCAGGGACTCGATGGTCTTCCTACCCAGGGATCCCTGGCCCTCGTTTATGCTGATGGGGGCGCTGGAGGTCACCTTGCTGATCCTGTCGATGTCGTCCTGGCTGGGGAATTTCTTACCTGAGGAAAAATTATATTTTACGTACATTTTTTTAAATTTAATTCCCATATACACAGCCTTAGTAAATGATTACAGGCCACGGGACCTCTGATTCTGTTTGGAATTGGATTTTATATCCTTGGCGTAATTTTTCACGAGATTCTATTCAAACGGTCAGCGCTCGCATTATCTTGAGCGTAGACGTAACGGTTCGTCATTGTTCATTGTAAACGAATCATTAATATTGGCGACGCAAAGATTTGGGGAATTTTCGTTACCATCAGCCCCGTACTGTTGGTTGCCTAAGCTCGGTGGTTAAGTGACTTCCTTGAAAACGAGATGCTCTAAGGCCCGTTTTAATATGCGATTAAGATAATTTGTTTATTATTTTTAATTTTCGATTTGGCAAATTTAATTTAACTGAATGATATGGGAGGGCGCCAAGAGGCTTGTATCTGCACACAGAAAACAGTACGTTCGGAAAGAGAAACCACAAGAACACCGAAAGTTAACACGCCGGTTGTGTCGTCGCCTCACTGATAGACGAAGTGTATGCACAAATATTTTTGCAAAAAATTATTTTTTTTCAATTTTAAAACAGCAATAAAGCTTTTTTTTATTTTAATTGTCAGTGTTGCGAGAAACAACTACTCCGTACAGAGCTTTTTTCCTGTGTAAAAACAAAAGTACCAACGAATTCCTACAAATAAAAAATGTACTATTAAATTAGGCATGAAACTTTTTGTGAATGACGAGTCTGGCAAAATAATTTTCAAACTCACCCATCCCCACCTCCAGGATGGACTTCTCCTGCAGCAGCTTCTCGTTGAAGGACTGCGACATGTTGTACACGTGATCCGTGGGAATTTTCAGGTTGCTCACTATGACCGAACAGGTCAGGTCCGTCATCTTGTTAATCGACACGTTCGACAGCTGCTTCTCCAGTTCCTTGGACTTGTCGCTCTCGCTGTCGCTGGACACCTCCTGCTCCGACTCCTCGTTGGAGAACATCAACAATTCACCGTCTATACACTTCAGCCTGTTCCGTATCTCCTCCAGCCGCACCATGCACTCCATCTTCTGCCTCTCTATGGTCTTGAACTCGTTCGTGTTGGTCTGGGAGGTGTCCGCCTTCTGCTGCTCCAGGTCCTGTATCTGCGCCTTGAGCATGTCCATGCGTTTGCTCAGATCCAGGATCTCCCTTTGGAGTTCCTCGCGGCTCGCCAGCCAGTCCGCCTCCTCCTCTAAATGGTGGAATTCCAGNTAAAAATACACGGAAAATTCGGAAAAAACCATTAAGTACGTTTTAAAAAACGTATCCGATTGTTATTTTTTTTCTAGAACAAATCAAGAATACCTTGCTGGCAGAGGTGCAGGTGTCTCTTCCTTTCGATCTCCTTCAGGGACTCGATGGTCTTCCTACCCAGGGATCCCTGTCCCTCGTTTATGCTGATGGGGGCGCTGGAGGTCACCTTGCTGATCCTGTCGATGTCGTCCTGGCTGGGGAATTTCTTACCTGAGGAAAAATTATATTTTACGTACATTTTTTTAAATTTAATTCCCATATACACAGCCTTCGTAAATGATTACAGGCCACGGGACCTCTGATTCTGTTTGGAATTGGATTTTATATCCTTGGCGTAATTTTTCACGATTCTATTCAAACGGTCAGTGCTCGCATTATCTTGAGCGTAGACGTAACGGTTCGTCATTGTTCATTGTAAACGAATCATTAATATTGGCGACGCCAAGATTGGGGGAATTTTCGTGACCATCAGCCCCGTATTGTTGGTTGCCTGAGCTCGGTGGTTAAGTGACTTTCTTGAAAACGAGATGCTCTAAGGCCCGTTTTAATATGCGATTAAGATAATTTATTTATTATTTTTAATTTTCGATTCGGCAAAGTCAAAGCGATAAAAAAATTGGAGAATTTACTTGCTCATTTCAAATATTTGCAGTCATTCTGCTATTATTGTTTAATTTAAGTGAATGATATGGGAGGGCGCCAAGAGACGTGTATCTGCACACAGAAAGCAGTACGTTCGGAAAGAAAAACCACAGGAACACCAAAAGTTAACAAGATAGTTGTCTCGTCGTGTCACCGAAAGATGAAGTATACGCACAAATATTTATGCAAAAAATTATTTTTTTCAATTTTAAAACAGCAATAAAGCTTTTTTTTATTTTAATTGTCAGTGTTGCGAGAAACAACTACTCCGTACAGAGCTTTTTTCCTGTGTAAAAACAAAAGTACCAACGAATTCCTACAAATAAAAAATGTACTATTAAATTAGGCATGAAACTTTTTGTGAATGACGAGTCTGGCAAAATAATTTTCAAACTCACCCATCCCCACCTCCAGGATGGACTTCTCCTGCAGCAGCTTCTCGTTGAAGGACTGCGACATGTTGTACACGTGATCCGTGGGAATTTTCAGGTTGCTCACTATGACCGAACAGGTCAGGTCCGTCATCTTGTTAATCGACACGTTCGACAGCTGCTTCTCAAGCTCCTTGGACTTGTCGCTCTCGCTGTCGCTGGACACCTCCTGCTCCGACTCCTCATTGGAGAACATCAACAATTCACCGTCTATACACTTCAGCCTGTTCCGTATCTCCTCCAGCCGCACCATGCACTCCATCTTCTGCCTCTCTATGGTCTTGAACTCGTTCGTGTTGGTCTGGGAGGTGTCCGCCTTCTGCTGCTCCAGGTCCTGTATCTGCGCCTTGAGCATGTCGATGCGTTTGCTCAGGTCCAGTATCTCCCTTTGGAGTTCCTCGCGGCTCGCCAGCCAGTCCGCCTCCTCCTCTAAGTGGTGGAATTCCAGGTCCTCGAACGCCTTCCGTTCGTTGTCCAGCTGCTCCTGTGCCTGGAGGTATTCCTCGAACACCTGCTCGTATTCCGGCGACGATTTCTCCGTTTTCGAGATCTTCTCCTCGATCTTGGACATGTTCTCCTGGGCCGACCTCAGCTTCTTCTTGCACTCTCTCTGGTCCTCCTCCTGCTTCATCTGACAGTCCCGCATGCTCTCCTCTATACGTTGGGCGCGTTTCTGCAGCTTCTGCTTCCTCGTCTCGATCTTCTCCAGGTCTAGGAGCTTCGATTTGTGCTCGCCGGATATCAGCGCCCTCTCCAGTTCCATCTGCAACGATTCAATATTTACCGATTATAATTTTGAAAAAAATATCAAGGGGATTAAGATCTGGTACTTAAGCCGGCCACTCCAAAAAAAGATTTTTTCTTACTTCTCTCTGGAGTTCCTCCTCCTGTATCTCGATTTCCGCCATCTGCCGCTTGATCCTGGAAATGACGGCCAGTATGTCCTTCTTCTCCTTCCTGAGCTGTTCCAGCCTCCGCCTGTCCTCCTCGTTCTGTCCGCTGTGCCGTTTGCCGAACTCCCTGGAGCCGCTGTAACTGTCGTTCATGCAGTAGGACCCGCTGTCCGCCCTACTGTTCTCTATCGGGGACGGGCTGTTCTTGGCGAGGTCGTCGGAATCGTCCAGGGGAAGGATGAACTTGCCGGGGCTGGCCTTGGCGGGAACGTCGAAGATGTCGCCGTCGGGGGGGAATTCCTTGGAATTGTGCAGGTTCTGCCTCAGGACCTGCTCCGCTTCGCGTAGCAGGATCTGCTCCGCTTCCAGTATGGCGAATTTGTTTTCTATCAGTTCTGTCGTCTCTTTGGTAGCGCTGCAAAAAAAAAATTTCAAATTGAGGTATACGATGTGATACGGCGCATATACTCACTTATCCTTATTTGAGGTTACGAAAGTCTTGATTCTAGTTCTCGGCGAGGACGGAAAAGCTCCCGGGGGGACGTGTTGGATGTAAACGTTCTCGTAGGGGCTGTTCCGCTCGGAACTGCGGTACTCCCCGTTGATATGCTCGTGCGGAGCCACCTCGACGTTTTCGTAATGGAAGTTCCTCACCTCTCTAGAGCCGTACGATATGTTCACGTTCTCGTAGTTGTGGTGGTGGTTGTTCTGCTTCAGGAGTTCATTGTGGAGAACGTCTAGAGGCGAAGGGGGCGGGGTGCTGTAGCTCGGGGAGGGGGGACCGAACGGGCCCCTCTTGTCCCTAGGTAGCGAACCGTTGGTCTTTATCCTAAGGAAATAGCTCAAGTTTATATTTTGGCCGGCACACTTACCTGATTTAGTTCCCATGTAAATAATAAAATAAATTTGGGAAAAAAAGTAAAATATCGATTATTTATACCTGTTAGGTGTTATGGGTTTGTTCTTTTCGTACTGGGACTGTTTCTCGTACTCGGCGCACATGTTGAGGATCTCCTCGAGCCGTTGTTGTTCGGCCTTTTCGATTTCCTGTTCTTTTATCCGGTCCTGCTGTGCCTAGGAAGGATTGGAACGTTAAAAAGAAACAGGGAGTTTATCATACGAGTTTCAGGGTTCAAACTTTTTTTTTCTCGAAAAACGTAAAAAAATTGTCGTTACAGGCACACCCCGGAATGTTTCTAAAAATAATCTCGTACGCTTTAATGTAGGAAATGAGGTAAATGTTACAGAATACAATTGCAGAATTGTTTACTTTGATAAACCACATTTTAGATAAGATTACTCGGGTAATGTTTGAAATATTACGAATTTAATCGTTTGTAGCTAAATGAGACCTGTAGGAAAACAGTTGTGGCGTTGTTCACCTTTCCGCATATAGATGGAGCAGCGGTGTTGAACTGAAAATCTCGTATATTTAAAAATACTTTGGCACCCGAACCGCGTTTTAGATGGATAGTGGGTGTTTAATGGTAATTCTTAAAATTGAATTTATAGAACTGAAAACTTTAAATAATATCAACCTTCAAACTCATTTCAGTTACTTTTTTGTAATGTGTGATTTTTTTCCAAATTTGAACACCCTGAATCTCAAAAACGAAATTTTGTGAACACGTTTTCATAAGACTATGTGTTTTTTTGGTCCTTCGAACTGGATCATAGCTCATTTTATTTTTTTGGTCCTTCGAACTGGATAAATAGCCCGTTTTATTTTTTGGTCCTTCGAACTGGATCATAGCTCATTCTATTTTTTGGTCCTTCGAACTGGATAACATACACGGAAATGTCACTCACCTGATTCCTGCGCAGTTCCGCCTCGTACTTCCTGTGCGCCAGATCGTCGTACCCGTCGCCGAAACTGGCGTTCGTCAGTTCTCCCAACGACCCGCTCCTCCTGTGATCCGCCTTCACCACGTTGGACACCGGACTCGGTGTGACGCTCCTGAAGAACCCGCCGGGGTTCCTGTTGAAACTAGGCGAGGGGGTGTTCACCCTGCTGACGTTGACGTTCTTGCAACTGCCCGAGCTCTTGTTGTTCAGCTCGTTATGGTCAAAGTTGACGTTCTGCTTGGGAACGGCGGCGTTCTCGAAGATGATGACCCGGTTGTTGATGTTCTTCGTCTCGTTCACCGTCACGTTAACGTACTGGCTATGGTGGAGGGCCTTCTTCGCGAAGATCTGCCTCTCGGGGATCTTCACCTGATGCTTGTCGTTCGAGTTGAGCTCGGCGTAGTTAAGAGCGCTCTGGGGGAGGTTCTTGGAGAGGCTGTGCAGGTCCTTGCCGAGCACGTCCTTCACCGGCATGTTCACCGTCACCACGTTCGAGGGGAACACTTTCGGCGAGATGGACTTCTTGAAGTTCTGCGCCGCGAGGTACTCGAACTTGGACACCTTGGTCATGATGCTGGAGGGAGGGTCCTCGCTGCCGCTGTCCGACAGGGATTCCCTGGGGCTCCTGCGTGGCGCAACGGGGGGTTTCTTGTTGAATTTGGTCTGGAAGGAGGATTCGGCTGGTTCGAAGTGGATCGGGGCCATGGAGATCCTGGGATTGGGCAGCACGGATTTCATTAATTTGGCTTCGGCGGGGTGGTTGAACCTCAGGTAGTTCGATCTGCCGATGGTGAGCATAACACCTGAAACAAATAACAAATCCAGCTGAATGAAGAACAACATTATTGGCATCATTAATAAATAATTGGTCCACAATGAGAGCCCTGTGGAACCTCAGAGGAAAATTTAACGTGTTGTACTCTATCTGACATAAAATTTATTACAAAATAATGCGTTTCGGACATTATTTTGTTGCCACAAGTAACAAATCCTGATAAAAATAAAACACATCAAAAACTGCAGCAATTCCTGCTACATTTTTTGGTGTTTTCAAGTCAAATACGTGAAAATTGGGAACACTACAGCTTTTTCTAGCAAACATCTAATTACCTTGCGACAAACGCGTGGGTCCAATCACCCTCTGCCCGTCTATGGAGATGTTGTCCGACAGGGGGTAAATGGTCACAGTGCCCTCGCTGTTTTCGATATGGCAGTGCACAGGGAGGACGCCCGTACCCTGGACGCGGATGTCGACTCCGGGGCTACTTCCTAGTGTTATTCGTCCTAAAAAACAAAGAGATGGGAGTTGAAGCAAAGTTAAGACCACGTTACTTGTTAGTCGGTGCATATGTCTACTAAAGTATTAATGAACGTAGTAAATTACGCGGGGCCGTAGCGTTTTGCGTTAATTAACATGACTTGACATTGGAGACCATTGGCCTGCAGCAAAAATGGTCGTAAAGCATGAGAGACATGTATATAAAAATTTAAACGACGTAAACTGATGGTAAATTGGCAGTTGGCCTGAATTTCGCGTTGGTGCATTTAATTGACAGTTCGGCCTGGATATAAATTAATCCATCTCGTAAAACCACGTGTCATCGCTCTGAAAAACTATGATTCACGATATGAAAAGAATAATTATGGTAACCATCACAAAATGGTATAAATTTGTAAATGTATGAAGCGCGAGAAACTGTCTTGAGAAAACCCAAACGAATTTCCTAATTTTAGAAATTCATTGCTACATTTCGGCGGAACCCCGTCGTCGTCGATGACTAAATAACTGCACAGATACAGCCCCGCGCGCGTCACAAAGGCCTACCACGTACAACATCCGCCGCGGATATTTTGGTAAGCCGAAAAACAAACAAAATGCACTCGCTCCGCCACCCTGACGTAAAACACGTGCCTTCCAAGACGGGTCTTACCTACGACGGCAGCCGAGGCGCACCTGGGGATTGTTTGGAATTTTCGTAAATATTTTTCCTATTCGAATTCGAGGCATCGTCTGACCCGGTGCGGGTAAGATACGCGCGACCGTACGTGGTAACTGTAAAATGCGTCTTTGTCTAATTTATAAAACTAGGCCCTGGGGAAGTCAGAGGAATCGAAGTAAAATATGTGCGCTATAAAAAATATAAGAATATTAAGAAAATCCCAAAACTTTGGGTGATTTTCAAAGAGCTGTAACTTGGAGGGAAATGGTCGTAGAGAGAATAAAAAAATAGGAAATTGAAGCTTCAAGTGTCTAGTTTTCAGATCTGCAGTTTAAAATTTTTTAATGCCAGCATTTTTTGAGTAATCGTAAGAAAATCAACGGTAAAAAATTTTTGTTTTAAAAGGCCTATGAACTTCAAAAATTTTTTTTATTAATTTCATCATAAAGCTCTTTCAGATAATTTAATTCTCTTCAATTTGAGCGGTTCCGGAGCCCTGTACGATTATTTGTCACTGTGTTATCGTTGATCAAAGCAAAAAAGTCATTTTAGACTGGCAATCATTTACTCGGGAAATAATGGTCGTACAGAAAATACAAGCAGTTTTGAAAACTGCAAAGTATTCTCTACAAGTAGTAATTATTTTTCAGTGAAAATGGTTAGAAAAAAGGTAAAAAATTACATAATTAGGCATATTTGAATAACTTGGCACAACTTTGCAAATAATTAATAAACTAAGGATATCGACTGTAACTTTTTAACCCCAAAAGTGTCCTAAAGACACCCTGATAATTTCAAAACCCTGACTTTTTTTCTTAGTGCCCGGAATGTTTAAATTTATTGTTTTTGCTGAATGTAATTCATGATGTAATAAGTAATTTTTCACTTTTTATTAATTTTTTTAAGTTAAAAATGTTTTTTTTGGAATAATTCATATTTTCTTTATCAAAAAACGTTCATGATTCTAAAAAAAATATATATTTTTTTAACATATCCCCAAGCTTCACAAACGTCAAAAAAATAGGCTAATTTGACGTTTGTGGATATGTTAAAAAAAATTTGAAAAAAATAATTTTTGAAAAAAATTTTGGCTAAAAAAACATTTTTAAGCAATAATTCATATAGCATTTTCTTAATAAAAGAGCGTTCATGATTCTAAATACAAATGAAAAAAAATTTTTTTTCGAAAATATTTTTGAATAATTCATATTTTCTTCATCAAAAATCGTTCATGATTCTAAAATAAATATATATTTTTTAACATATCCCCAAGCTTCACAAACGTCAAAAAAATAGGCTGATTTGACGTTTGTGGATGTTGAAAAAAAATTTGAAAAGAATATTTGAAAAAAAAAATTTTTTTCAATTGTTTTTAGAATCATGAACGTTTTTTATGAAGAAAATATGAATTATTGCTAAAAAATGTTTTTTAGCTATAATTTTTTTTTCAAATATTATTTTTTCAAAATTTTTCTTAACATATCCACAAACGTCAGAACATTTATTTTGACGTTTCTGAAGCTTGGGGATATGTTAAAAAATATATATATTTTTTAGAATCATGAACGTTTTTTGATGAAGAAAATATGAATAATTCCAAAAAAAAAACATTTTTAACTTAAACTATAAAAATTAATAAAGAGTGAAAAATTGTTAAAAAAATATTTTTTAGCAATAATTTAAACTTAAAAAAATTAATAAAAAGTGAAAAATTACTTATTAAATTTGAGGTCGAAAAATTACAGTCGACACCCTTAGATTATTCATTATTTGTAAAGTTATGTCAAGTTATTTAAATATCCCTAATCATGCAATTTTTTATCTTTTTTCTAACCAACAATTTTACTTTGAAAAATTTGTTTTATCAAAAACCCATAATTACTACTTGTAGAGTATACTTTACAGTTTTCAAAACTCTGCTTGGATTTTCTGTACGACCATTATTTCCCGAGCAATTGATTGCCAAAGTCAAAAATGATTTTTTTTCTTTGATAGACAATAATTGAGCGACAAATAATCGTACAAGGCTCCCGAATCACTAAAATTGAAGATAATAAAATTATCTAAACGAGCTGTATGATGAAATTACCAAAAACACTTTGAAGTCCATAGGCCTTTTTAAAAAAAGCAAAAATTTAGAATTCATTTTTTTCTGTTGACTCAAAAACAGCTGACGCTAAAAAAAATTAAACTGCATATCTGAAAACTAGACACTTGAAGCTTCAATTTCCTTTTTTTTATTCACTCTACGACCATTTCCCTCCAAGTTACAACTCTTAAAAAATCACCCAAAATTTTGGGATTCTTTTAATATCCTTCAATAATTTCTGTACCTAGTGTATACACAGTTCCATCGAGACACAATTTACATCTTTTTTTCAGGAGAAGAACGTTTTATCCATTTCTTTAAACTAATAATTCTTGACATGTTGGAATGGATGATTTATGTTATGCAAAACGGTTTAGCAACCAGTGATCCGAGTAAAATTTGTTGCTAGGAAACTCACCCCTTGAACCCTCTTAGCAAATTTGTTCGAACGATTAAACCCTGCTTTAATACAGATTGATTGTTCCTTCAGATTAGTCTTTAATAGGTATAAACCACATCCATATGTAGATGCGGGAATAATTAATTATAAATGTATAATTTTCCACTGATATAAGTTTTCTTTACCGATTTACTTTTGTACAAGGTGAAGATAAAACAAGACAGTGACTGTATATAGAAAAAGTCACTCTGTACTGTAGAGTTTCAAGTATAAAGGGCAAAATTATCTCTCATCAAAGATTTCAAACTATATCTCTGAAATCTTTGACGAGAGGTGATTTTGCATTTTATACGTTCCATGAGCAAGGGAAAGATAATAATTAATTAAAATACGTAGATCTACTATGAACCAAAAATGTTTAAAAGTATGAAGGTGGCAAAACTAATTTTAAACCTCCACTTTGTATACAATTAGTGTGGAGATAAAAAATCTCATTTATTACAACTTAATATGTTATTTATTCAATATAAACAAGATGTAACAAGCGTCCTATTTTTAGAATACTACGTACATGGTAAAATATCCTTATTTAAATTCATTGCTTAACAGCGAGGCAGGACCGACATAATAAATAAAATATAATTAACAATAGTCTCATACATTTATTTTGTTTTAATGAAAATGTGTAGTTTTTTACAATATTCTGTTTTATAAATCCAGAAGAGAAATGTGTTATCGCTATAATGTCGCGAGTAACAGATACTGCTTTCAGTGCTTTCTATACGTGTTATCTCTACTGAAAAAAAATTCTGTGCTGCAGCCAAGAGGGTGCAGAGTTCAATACTAGAATACAAACACAACGAAACTAAACTTCAACATTATTTGTTTGTATTTTCAGCCCACTTTCCTTATAGACCAAGCAAATTAAATTTTTACTCGAAAAAAGTCCTATCCGCGAGATTATTGTAAAATTGTCTAAAGGAACATCTGATTTCGTGAGTCAAAAACTTTTGATAGCTAACTTTTCTATTTAAACAAATATGTGGGGAAAACAGTTTTTTCACTTTGCAGGGAAAACCATCAATTTTAGGGAAAAGTGACTCTCAGACAGCTTATAGGGAGTAAAATTATCTACAAAATGAGACTTGTTAAATTAAAATAGGTTAATAAACAAAAAAGTTATTGCAAAAAAACAAGAAAAGTGCCCATTTTTTAATTTGTTTATAACTATCGCATTTATTGTTAAAATTGTATAAAACCTATGACAAGTTGAGGGTTTTGTCATACTTCGAAAGTGTGCCAAAAGTGGGCGCTGTAGGTGCAATAGTTTTCGCACAATTCTATTTGTTTATAACGGAGGCTCCAAAAGTTATGAACTTTAAGCCTCTGTACAGGCGTTAATTTTCAACCAAACATGATTCTGAAAGCGTCATTGTAATCTTAAAGACGTAATTAAGCGACCTATTAAAAAATATCATCGTTTTTTTGACATTAACATTCTCAAATTATGCATTAAAAAACCGTGAGTTTTTCTCATATAAACAATTTGAATAACATTGTTGCTATTTATGCTATCTCACCGAAAATAGATGCAATGGATAGCTGGCAAAAAAATACAGTTTTAAAATAAAAAAAGTACCCTCTACGACCAACAGGAGCCAAGATAAGATTTTTTTTTTAATCGTAGCGCAATTGTTAATAAATATTAAGACTTGAATTTTTCGCAAAGTACAGTTTACGACGTAAACTACGATTTTCCGTGAATTGCATTGAACAATGTGGAAAATTAACGACTCACGAGCCCTTTAAAGAGAAGGTACTCGCTAAGTAAACTGTCCGGGGCCGGCGGCGTGGT